ATCGACGAGTCCGCGGCGAAGTTTGACGAGACCACGCCGGAGGGGTAGTTCATGGGATGCCACCTCCTCTCTGGTGGGCGCTGGTCCGGCGACCACCTCGCCATCGACGCGGCCGCGTGCGCCGGGCACCCCGACGGAGAACATAGCGATGTGCATCGCGTAAAGAACATTGCGATCCCAGAAGGGAGATTTGTTTTCCCTGTCAGAGAAGGTCTTCGACGACATCAATCCAGAAGCACGCGAGTTAATATCTTTCCAAACATTCCGACCGCCAGGGGAACCAGCAAAGGGCGACCCTGTCCTATGCCCCGCTGAGTGGGATGGCCCCAGAATTTCGAAGCTTCCCGAACCAGACCTGCCCGAATTATTAGGCCCCGGAGCAGGGCTTCCCGAACCAGTCCTTCCCGAGGCACGAGAGCCAGCGGCTCCAGCTCGTGAGCCCGACCACTGGGAACAACGCGGTGAGGCTATGCTACGTCGCATCCGCGCGCCGCGCGCGCAATTTTTCCGCCCCGCTGACGACGTGATCGGGATCTCTGTTCCAGTCGACAAGCACGATGTCATCCGTGCCTTCGAGACTGCGTCAACTTTCGAGGGCGAGAAATGTTGCCGCGACGTATGGGGCGGCAGCGGCAACGACCGCCGCCGCCTTAGTGAAACCTGGACGGGTATAGTTCGCTCTTACAAGCGGCCCGAGATCACCGCCGACGGCAAGATCGACATTCACGGCCGCCAGACTCGTTTCGGGGCCACGTCCCGATCAGACCATGAATAGTATGTCCGATATAGAACGACTGGCGGAGAAAGAGTTAGCCAAAGATGTGCTCCGTGCACGAGAGACTTGTCGCAACTCCACCCTTCGCGTCTGGGCGCGGAACCGACAGGAAGGCTTGCCACTTCGTTACCGCCAGCGGTGGCGGTCCCCCAGGGGCCACCGTGGAACGACGCACCACTTACGACCTACACAACAACGCCGTCATTCGAGGCGAAAGCGTGACGGGCGTCACCGACAACCGTATTTCTCGCGCCTTCCTGACGGACCACGCGACATCCCCACTGTCTTATATTGCCGTCTTCAGCCGGATGCAAATCTCGCAAGCGTCATGCGTTCGCATGTGCTGCCGGACAAGTACAGCGTGGTACCTGTGATGCCACGTGCACCCAACCACCATCAGAGACATAGAAGCAAACTCGACTCCACCCTCTGGGAGCGACCTGACATTGTCACCCGCAGCCTCGCCACGCGCAATCTTAATTCCCAAGATGAAAGTTGCGGTGGAACCGCGAGCGCGAAAAGCGCAAAAAGAAGCAAAAAGAAGCGTAAAGAGTACGAACGGCTGGAAAAGAAGCAAACATGGGTGCTCGATGCGCTCAATGAGCGTGACGATGTTGTCTGCAGGGCGCAGAAGGAATCCAAAATGCTTCACTTCGCCAACATCTTGGAACTATCTTCTGTCAACCATGCTGAGTTACCACCAGAACTCCATTAGTGCCAGGGGCGCGTTGTGGTTCGACGCGACAGCGAAAGACGAGAGTGGCCTGGCCGCCGTTTTCGCCGACGCGGCGTCCAGCGCCTCCCACATCGAGGCCTCCAAGCTATGCGACGCCACTGCGTTGCCTGGCAGCGGAGGTGAGCAGTGTGATGCCCCAGGGGCATGCACTCAGGCCTCTCTACGGAGGCGGTCGGATCGACCCCGTGGAAACATGTATTACTTTACCGAAGTGGTGATTGCCCGCATCTTGGGCGAAATGCAAGAATCCGGACTGCCGACTACGACTCGCTCTCTATGGCAACCCTTTGGCAGGCGTCTTTTTGGGAGCGTCACTGTTGTGCGCGCTTAGAATCGGTGGGATTCCGCCCCATCCCTGGCTGGGAATGCGTTTGGAAACATGACGAGCTGAATCTCATTCTTCCTGTATGCGTTGATGACTTCAAAATGCAGGACCCATAGCCAATCTTAACTCAGGATGGGATCTTATACAGCATAGCGGAATGGGGATATACCCACCTACACAATCGACCACTGCTTGGGAGGTGGATACATGTCAGGTGCCGCATAACGCTTTCGCCAAACGCATGACTTCGATCCGACCCGTGCTCCCGGAGCATGTCCCAAGACAGTGCACATCGGCGTCCAACGTTTGTGGGATCCGATACGACATGATTGGCTGTACTGACCACTGCATTACGTGATATTTGGAATGCGTTTCGGAGTTGCCTGGGATGCCTGGCTCACGTGAGAAACGATGATCATCACCCAGGCCACGCACAACCCAGCCTCAATATCGTGCGCCGGTTGACAGACCCGCGTCTAGATCTTGTGCGTCGGTTGGAAAACCCACAAACGATGCCGTGCGCATTACCGACGACGATCTCCCACATGCGGATGCCCCCCGGTATTGAAGATACTTCATTTTCGGATAGAGATGACAACGACGAAAGCGTTCTTGGCCCTGATGCGGCCAGTGTTCTAATGAAGATATTATGCGGCGCCAGGTGCTGCATATTCGACCTCTTGCACCCTGTCTGTATACTCGCACGGGAGATCACTGAGTGGAACTTTGCTTGCGACAAACGACTACATCGATTAGCGTGTTACTCAAAATCTACACGCTCACACTGTCTTCACGGATGGTTTGGTGACAGATCGGATCAAATCTCGTTCGTACTCTTCACCGACGCCTCCCTCGCGGAGTGCGTCAACAGCTCGAAGTCGACCGCTGGCGTATTCGTCGCGCTGGTGGGCCCCAACGCATTTTTCCCGTTTAGTTGTGTATGCAAGAAGCAGACTGTGGTGTCACATTCATCCATGGAGTTCGAGATTGTGGCCTTCGACACCGCTTTGCGTACAGGAGGTCTAGCCCTCCTTTCATCATGGGGGGGCTGTGGTACAAGACGTGGCCCGCGGGGCCCACGGTGCGTCGCTGGCCGCCAAGAGGAAGCGCCGCAAAACACCACCAAGACGGGCTTCGCCCACGCGAGTTTCTTCTCCAGGCACCAGGACATCGACCAGAGCGACCCCACCATCCCTTACATCATCATCCAACATCATGTACGATGACATCGTACTTCGTGCTCCTCGTCCCCCGCGCACCAAGGCACCACCTCCGGTGGTGCACTTCATTGTGGCTGAGGACAACGAGGCAGTGATTACGATCGTCCAAAAAGGACGGACACCAGCACTCCGTCACTTGTATCGTACACATCGCATTAACTTGGATTGGGTCACTGAGACATGTCAGCAGGAACACATACAGCTTAAATGCGTAGGCGCCAAAAAGCAGGTTGCTGACATGATGACCAAACATTTTGAGCCCAAGAAGGCCCACCTTTGACAATATTCAGTCTAACTGTCGCTCATCTTTCCCGTTGCTGCGAAGACCACGAAGACGCTGGAGACCGCCGATGACGCCGGTCTCGCTGTTCTTGACCCCAACAATGTTTCTGTTGCGTCCATCGTTCGCGCGGGTAGATGTGTTGGCAGATGCACGCCTTGCGGTGCGCGCCTTCCGGACTCGTCCGCCGTGCCCGCGACCGCTGGTGCTTCCGAGTCAGATATCACCAGCGTCGCGAGGGAAGAAGCACGGGGACCATGACCAAGATTTTCTCGGGATTTTGTCGATGGCGATCTTGATAATGGTCCACGTCGGCCGTCGCTGATTCGCGAGGGGCATCCACGAAATGACGCTGCCCGTCATCGGCGGTGACCAAGATCGGCACGACGTTTCCGCGTGCTGTCTTGGTCATTATCCCCGTTTTTTTCCTTCCAGTATCGGCCGCGGGCAGCTGGAGCTGGACGCGGCGGTCCGATCTCGGCTCGATTCGGGACGACTCGGTGGCGGTCTGATCCGTTTCCGGCCCGACCTGATCCCGTGGTTTGATCCACCCAGACCTGGAAAAGGGTATTGGGAGCGAGCGCCCGGGCCAGCCACACGCTTCCCAGATAGCCAGGAATCTGCGGCGACTCGTGGGCCTGGTGCATGTCGACGAGCTGCCAAGCCTGGCGCCTCCGTCACATCTCCTCCACGATGCTGGCCAGCCCAGCCGTGGCCCCAGGACTGGCGCATACGCCTTTCGGCCCAGATCGATGAAGACAAACTGGCATACGCATGAACTTTCGGAGGTCCGTGCAGATTTTCAAGATTGGTGCTGGGTCCCCCTCCCTTGCGCGCTCCGCGCGCCAGGGAAGGCGCCAGAGGCGCCGCCAGGGAGGTTCAGCGCTGGTCGAAGAAGTCCTCCGAACGTTTATGGCTAGTCACCAAGCAATCTTTGCTGTCAGGTTTTTTTCCAAATGTCATTTTCGAAGGAACTGGGCCTGCCTTTTGGTATGGCGGCTATGTGGTCGCCGTGGCCGCCCCGTCGCCGCCTCGCCGCCGCCCGTCTTCTGGGCCTTCCCGTCGGTCTGGCGGCTACGCAGCCGCTGTCGGTCTGCCCCGCCGCTGTGGGCCTGTCCGTCGGTCTGGCGGCCAAATTTATGCGGTCGCCGTCGCCGCCCCGTGGCCGTTTGGGCCTGCGTTACCCCGCACTGCTATGTGCTACTTTGCATGGCATTGCATTGTTTTTTTTCGCTGCTTTGCACTGCTGTGCGTTGAGTTGCGTTGCTCTGTATTACTCCGCCTTGCTCTACATTGTTTTGCTTCGCGTTGTTTGGCACTGCTCCGCGTTGCACCACATAGATTGCACAACGTAGATTGCCCCCCCCCGTAGCTCGCACCACATCGCCTGCACCACATACATTGCATCATGTAGACTGCACCACATCTATTGGCTAACGTAGTTTGCATCATATAGCCTGCACCACATGTGTTGCGTCATTTATGATGCTAAAACGCACTGTTCGGGGTCCACGCTGGCGAATATGCATTTGTTTGTTCTATCAGATGGTCTGTACACCAATCCTGGGCCTGGCCATGCTCACTGTCGAGGTCATTTCGGGAGCTCTGAGCTCCGCCCTGCCCTTCGCCTTGTCTCTCCCTGCCGGCGCCGCCGCCGTCGGGAGGCTGACGACTTCCAGAAGGCCCTCTTCGGCCACGTCGCCCCTGCTATCGGGGGTGATGACGCTCTCTGCGAAGTGCGTGCTCACGGACCCCGTCGCCCCTTCGTCCCCTCGCGCGCGACTGCTTTTCTCTTCTGCTCATTCAGTCTGAGAGAGTTGGTTCGTACACTCACGCCGTTCTCACTCCTGGCGCGTCACTCGACGACGACGACGACAACGACGGTGACGACGGCGATGTCGAGGAGGAGGAGGAGGAGGAGGAGAATGATGATGATGACGATGATGCTCATGATGATGATGATGATGGTGATGATGATGATGATGATGATGATGAATATGATGATGATGATGATGATGATGATGATGATGATGATGATGATGATGAGGAGGATCTTGATGATGCTGATGATGATAATGATGATGATAATGATGATGACGAAAACGACGACGACGATGTTGACGAAGGCGACGACGACGAGGACTACGACGACGACGAAGTAACGACGACGACGTCGACGACGGTGGCGACAACGATGACAAAAGCGACGACGACGAAAACGCTGACGACGACGTCGAGGTCCACGATGGTGACGACGACGACAGAAGCGAAAATGACGACGACGACGTCGACGTCGGCGACGGTGACGACGATGACGACGAGGAGGAGAATGAGGACGACGACGACGGTGACAGCGAGGAGGACGAAAACGAAGACGACGACGACTGCCAGTCGTGACGATGGTGACGACGACGACGAAAACGACGACGACGGCGTCGACGTCGACGATGGTGACGACGATGACGACGACGATGACGACAACGACGACGACGACGACGACGACGACTGTGAGGAAGACGGCGACGGAAATGACGAAAATGACGGCGGCGACGGTGAGGGCGGTACCGGAGCACTACCCCACACCCACATGGGGGCGGGGGGGAAGCAGCAGCACCACCCCACACCCACAGGGGGGGGCACGATCTCATTAGCATGTTGTGTGGGGGGGGAGCGCGGACCCTTGACCACATATGTTTGTGTATCTCTTTCTCTTTCTTTCTCTTTCTATCTCTGTGTGTATATATATATATAGATACACACAAGACTTCATTTTCGCATCGCTCTATGCACCTCGGTCCTTGAAGATTAGCATGCAGGCGGAGAGGGCAAGAAGGTCAAGCACAAGAAGTTAGCGATACTTTCATGCTGTCTTTTCCAACATCGTCGCTACATTAATGTGATTCGTTATCTTTCCCTCATGCTTCCTCTTCGTCTTCCCCATTCTCGTCCTACCCTGCGCATTCTTCCCGATTCTCCTCAGCTTTTTTTTGCGGAGGTTCCCCCTTTGAGAGCCTCTCTGGGGCCTCGCGAAAGTTTTTGAGGACTTCTTGAGGCCTTCTAGAGTCTGGGGCCTCTTGGGGCCCTCTGGGGGCCGTACGACCGCCCTCCTGACCGATTTGGGACCGTTGCAGGGGCTTCCTAGCGCTCTGGGAAGCTTGGGGGACCTCCTGCAGGCGCGTCCAGGGGGCCCTCGGGGCCACGGATCCGCTTTTTTTGGTGTGGGGGGGAGGGTTTTCCCCACCCTTCCAGCGTTAAAAAAAATGTTTAGCAAGAGGAATCTAGTGGCCTTCGCTCCATTCCGCCACTGTGCCTAGGTTGTAGGTCAGAGGTATCGTGGATGCTTGTGGGGATTTTTTGGGATGCCTCTCGGGAGCCTCTTGGATGACGTTTTGGGGCCTCTCGGGTGCCGTTTCGGGTCCTCTTGGGGCCTGATTTGGGCCTCTTCGGGGACTGGAGCTCGGGGGGGCTTCTCGGGGGCCTGCTTGCGGTCTCGGATGTCGTCTTGGGGCGGAGGGCTCGAAATGTCGGTTCGTGTTTCCCCTCTGGGGGCCTCTCGGGCCGTATTGGGGCGATCTTTGGGGCCTCCTGGGCTGTGAGTCGAAAGCCGGCAAAAGGCGATAACGCTAGAATCGGGTGAACACTCGGGGAATCACAGATTTCGGCCTCTCGGGGGGCTTCATGGAGGCCTCTTGGGGCGTGTTGGGGCCCCCCTGGGCCGCCCGGAGGCCATCTTGGGCGTCTGAGCGATCTGTCGGCGACTCGGGGCACTCTTGGGCTGTATTCGGGACCTTTTGAGGCTGGAGAGCCGCGGCACGCCCTGACAGATTCGGGAATTGGGGGGCCGGGCCCCTGAATTTTCCACTCACCCAGGACTGAGGACGAAGAACGCCAAGGGACCTGAGGACACTCCAACTCGTGCATCGGGGCACGGTGGCATATGTATGTATGTATGTATGTATGGATGTATGGATGTATGGATGTATGAATGTACGCATGTATACATACATGCATGCATGCATTCATGTATGTATATATGTATGTATGTTTGTATACTTGTGTATTTGTATACACGTATACAAGTGTATGGGTTTCCATATACATATATACATATATATATATATATGATATGTGTGCACTTTCACTCTATGAGTGTTTACGCTTGCGATTCTACATATACGTGTGTGCTATCTATAAAGATCTATGTGTACATGTGGATGTATGCCTGTATCCATACACGTATATGTGCTATATGTGCCTATATATGCATGTGTGTATGAATGTATGTACGTATATGTGTATGTATGTTTGTACGCATGTATGCGTGTATGTATGTCCGTATGTATGTACGTATGCATGCATGCATGCATGCATGTATGTATATATGGATGTATTGATGTACGCATATATGTGTGTATGTAATGTATGTATGTATGTATGCATGCATGCATGCATGTATGTATGTATGCATGCATGCATGCATGTATGCATGCATGCATGTATGCATGTATGGATGTATGTATGCATGTATGTATGCATGCATGCATGCATACATGTATGTTTGTATGCATGTATTTCTGTATATGTATGTATGCCTGCATGTATCTTTCTATACATGCATACACGTACGCATGCATGCATGTATGTATGCCTGTGTTTGTAGGTACGTGTGTATATATGCATGTATACATGTATGCACGCATGCACGTATACATGTACGCATATAAGTGTGTATGTGCATATGTAGGTGTATGAGTATATGTAAATATAGATATGTGGGTATGTGTGTGTGTGAGAGAGTATGTATGTGTATGTGTACGTGCATGTGTAGGCGTACGTCTTGGTATGTATGCCTGTATGTAGGTCTGTACGTATGCAGGCACGCATGTGTGTATGTATGTCTGTATGCATGCATTTATGCATGTATGTACACGTCTGTCTTTCTGTCTGTCTTTCTGTCTGTTTTTCTGTCCGTTTGTCTCTGGCTGGCTGGCTGTCTGCCTGTCTGTCTGTTTGTCAGTCTGTCCGAATGTCTGTATGCCTGTATGTCTGCATGTCTGTCTGTCTGTATGTCTGTATGTCCGTATGTCTGTATGTCCGTAAGTCTGTATGCTTGTATGCCTCTATACCTGTATGTCTGTATGTCCGCGTATATATACACACACATATATATATATATATATATATATACGTTGGAAGGCTTTAGATGTGCATGCGTACATCTGCAGATTTATAGGCCTGGCTATAGATATATTTGCACATGCATATCTACTCCCACCTGCGGGGGTAAGCAGGCCAGTGAGGCCCAGGCCAAAACATTGGGGATGGGGATCGGTCCAACGATGCCCATCTCCCCGCCCTCTCGAGGCCCGAGCCGACCACCCCTGCAGCCCGCCGTGCTCCACTTTACCGACGCTGGCACGGTGCAGAGCGCAGGCTCGCCGAGGAAGGGGACAGATCGGCGACTGTCCTGGCGACCAACCCAAAGCTTTGGCTTCGTGTTGTTTTCCCAGCGTGGACCCCCAGAGGTGTGGACCCTTTCCCGGGGACCTGCTTTTCATCCACCGTCGTTTTTTGACAGTCCTGGGGCCCGCTGATGGCACCTGGAGGCCGAGAACTGCTAAGAACATCCTGAGAGAGGAGGTGGGGGTACTTCCCAGGCGAGGCGTCCTGGTAGGGCGTGTCCCTCCCGACCCGCACGGTTCCCAGAGATCCGATGTATTGATTCCCAACCATCCTGTGGTGTTGGGTCCTCGTTTTGAAGTGACAGCGCCCCGCGTTCCTTCCTTCCTTCCTTCCTCTCCTCCTCCTCCCCCCTCCTCCCCACCCCCCGTGGGCCCCAGTGGCCCCATAGGGAGCTCCACCGAAGGCCCCAGTGGGGGTGCCCGCATGCGGTTCCCCCACCCAGGGCAGCGTTTCGTGGCCCCATAGGGAGCTCCACCGAAGGCCCCAGTGGGGGTGTTCGCATGCGGTTCCCCCACCCAGGGCAGCGTTTCGTGGCCCCATAGGGAGCTCCACCGAAGGCCCCAGTGGGGGTGTTCGCATGCGGTTCCCCCACCCAGGGCAGCGTTTCGTGGCCCCATAGGGAGCTCCACCGAAGGCCCCAGTGGGGGTGCCCGCATGCGGTTCCCGCGCCCAGGGCAGCGTTTCGTGGCCCCACAGGGAGCTCCACCGAAGGCCCCAGTGGGGGTGCCCGCATGCGGTTTCCCCACCCAGGGCAGCGTTTCGTGGCCCCACAGGGGAGCTCCACCGTAGGCCCCAGTGGGGGTGCCCGCATGCGGTTCCCCCACCCAGGGCAGCGTTTCGTGGCCCCATAGGAGCTCCACCGAAGGCCCCAGTGGGGGTGCCCGCATGCGGTTCCCCCACCCAGGGCAGCGTTTCGTGGCCCCATAGGGAGCTCCACCGAAGGCCCCAGTGGGGGTGCCCGCATGCGGTTCCCCCACCCAGGGCAGCGTTTCGTGGCCCCATAGGGAGCTCCACCGAAGGCCCCAGTGGGGGTGCCCGCATGCAGTTCCCCACCACCACCACCACTGTGGCAGGCCCCTCACAGAGTGCGTGGCCCCATAAGGAGCTCCACCGAGGAAGACATTCACAACTGCGGTTTCCACAACTGCATATGGTTGGGTTCTTCGCTATGCTATTTTTGTCAATGCGCGGTTTCGGCAACCCCCGAGCCTTTCCCTTCGGCCGCTTTTTCACTCCGAGTCGTTTTTTGACGGTTCTGGGGCCCGGCGAGGGAACCTGGAGGCCGGAAGCGGCGGTAGTTGCCCGAGTCGAATTTTTCAACACGTTGGAGGCCTGGGTTCTGTAGTCCTCGGGCCACGGCCGGGGCCACGGGGTGCCCAGGCCGGCTCTGCTCGCTTTGGAGGCGCCGGTGAGGCTCTGGGCTGCCTGCGCTGGCGGCCGCCGAAGCTGGACGGGCAGGGCGTGGCAGCGAAGGTCGAAGAGCAAAAAGCTGCTTGAACAGAAGGACTTTCAGATGTCCGCGCGGATTTCTTCACAACTCGAGGGGGTCTGGTCTAGACGATGTTGAGTTTCCCAGAAGCCTCCCCTCTTCTCGAGGAGCGAATAGCTGCATCAATATACATTTTCCGAGGTCCGCGCGGATTTCTTGGATTGCATTTTTCTGTTCCTCTAGAAGAGGGGAGGTTTCTGGGAAGCTCGGCATCGTCTACCCAGACCTCCTCGAGTCGTGAACAGATCGACAGAAGGTTTTTCGTTATTTGAATGGCCTCCGGCCAGTGCCGCCGATCCGAGGCGCTCCAGATGCTGGTGGTTGACACGACGACGACGGCGATGACGACGACGATGACGACCCCGACGCCGACAACGGACGACTTACGACTAACGGGAGGAGGGAGGTGGGAGGCGGGAGGCGGCAGGCGGGAGGCGGGAGGAGGGGGAGGGAGGAGGCAGGAGGGAGGAGGGAGGATGGGGAGGATGGGGAGGATGGGGAGGAGGCGGAGGAGGAGGAGGAGGACGAGGAGGAGGAGGAGCAGCAGGAAGAGCAGGATAAGGACGGAGGAGGGAGGAGGCTGATGAGAACGAGGATGAGGACGAGGATGAGGACGATGAGGACGATGATGATGATGATGATGATGCTGATGATGATGATGATGATGATGATGATGATGATGATGATGATGATGATGATGATGCTGATGCTGATGCAGATGCTGATGATGGTTATGATACTGATGATGATGTTGATGCTGATGCTGATGCTGGTGGTAGTGGTGGTCGTGTTGTTGATGATTGATGATGATGCTGGTGATGATGATGGTGGTGGTGGTGGTGCGGAGGAGGAGGAGGAGGAGCAAGGAATAATAGGATGATAATGATGATGATTACGATGATGATGCTGATGCTGATGCTGATGACTATGATGATGATGCTGCTGATGATGATGATTATGATGATAATGATGATGATGCTGAGGAGGAGAAGGATGAGGATGAGGATGCGGATGAGGATGAGGAGGATGATGAGGATGACGATGATGATGATGCTGCTGATGATGATGATGATGATGATGATGCTGACTCTTCTTCTTATTATTATGATGCTGCTGATGCTGATTATGATAATGATGATGCTGATGCTGATGCTGATGCTGCTGATGCTGCTGATGATGATGCTAACGATGATGCTGATAATGCTGATGATTCTTAGGATGATTATGATGATGATGCCGATTATGCATATGATGATGGCGATGACGAGGGTGATTATGATGATGATGATAATGCTAACGATGATGCTGCTGATGATGATGATGATGATTCTGATGATGATTCATCTGATGCTGATGCTGATGCTTATGCTGATGCATCTGATGATGATGATGATGCTGGTGATGACAATGATGATGATGATACTGCTGATGATGATGATGATGATGATGATGATGATGACGATGGTGCTGCTGCTGATGATGATGATGATAATGATGATGATGATGATGATGATGATGATGATGATGATGACGATGATGATGATGATGATGATGATGCTGATGATGATGATGATGATGGTGATGATGATGCTGATGATGCTGATGATGATGCTGATGCTGCTGCTGATATGATGATGCTGATGAATGATTGTGATGATGGTGATGATGGATGCTGAGATGCTGATGGATGATGATGATGTGATGCTGAGATGATGCGATGATGATGAGGATGATGATGATGATGAGGATGAGGAGAGGCTGGATGATGCTGATGATGATGATGATGATGAGGATGATGAGTGATGATCATGATGACGATGACGACGACGAGATGATGATGATGATGATGAGATGATGATGATCAGATGAATGACGATGGTTGCTGATGATGCTGGTACTGATGATGATGATGATGATGTGATGATGATGATGATGGATATGCTGGTGATGATGATGCTGATGATGATGCTGATGATGATGCTGCGGCTGACGATGTGATGATGATGATGATGATGATGATGATGATGATGATGATTGATGATGATGATGATATGATGATACTGAGGATGAGGAGGATGAGGAGGGAGGAGGAGGAGGAGGATGTGGATGTTGGATGAGATCATGATGATGATGATGCTGCTAAGATGATGATGATGATGATGATGATGATGATGATGATGATGATATATGATGATGATGATGGATGAACGATGATGATGCGGATGAGATGATGATGACGATGATGATGATGATGAGGAGGAGGGGGAGGAGGAGGAGCGGAGGAGGAGGCGGAAAGGAGGAGTAGGAGGAGAGAGGAGGAGGAGGAGGAGGGAGGAGAGGAGGAGGAGGAGGACGACCGTCAGCAATCGACTCAGGATGAAAATCCTTTCCAAGGGAAAGGGTCGAGACCTCTGGTGGTCGACGTTCTGAAACAATCATGACGTCGGGGGTCTGGGAACCGATCCCCATCCCCATCTGGCCACGGTAGCTCAGCCCCACCAGCCCACCCTCCTGGGTGGGGGGTAGGCTTCTCGAAACCCGAAGGAAGAGGATCGGGAGGAGGAGGAGGAGGAGGAGGAGGAGGAGGAGGAGGAGGAGGAGGAGGAGGAGGAGGGGAGGAGGAGGAGGAGAGAAGGAGGGGAGGAGGAGGAAGAGGAGGGAGGCAAGCCGGGAGCGGAGGGGAGGGGGAGAGGGGAGGAGGGGAGGAGGGGGGAGGAGGGGAGGAGGAGGGGAGTAGGAGGAGGAGGAGGAGGGGGAGGAGAAGGAGCATACCCCCATCTAGGTGGGCAAGTCGGCCAGCGCGGTCAAGGCCTCGCCTGTGGGTTTCGGGATCGGTTCAACGATGTTCAAAACCGGGTTTGGCCTGCATTGGGTGACTTTGCCTATTTGCAGTCTTCTGTGGCCTTGTAGGATCGCCAACGTCCAGAGCGCTGTCGAGAGCTTTGGCACCGTGGCACGAATGCTCTGAATATTTTCGTGTTGTGCGAGTTACACCTTGGCAGTATCCTGTGGTTCACAGTGTAGCCCTGTATCGATCATGTACCTCAGGACGGGGCATGGGGGCGAAGTACAGGGAGGAGGAGGAGGAGATGGGGAGATTGATATGATGTTACGGGATGCCTCAAGTGGGAAGGGGTCGCCCAATTGGTATCCAAGGACGTCCAGAGCCTTTCGCCGAGCTCGTCATGAATGCGGAGGAGGGGCGTCGGGGGACGTGTCTGCACCAGCTCTCTTACTTCTCCTTGAATCTTTTAGCTCTGAGTGAAGAGAACGGTCGGCGGCGATCGAGGGGGGACGCGAGAAGGAGAAGGCCTTCTCAGAAGGCGGCGGGGCTTCCCAGAAGCCCTCCTGCCTTCGGAAACAAGTCTCTGGGGAAGGCTTAGACAACTTCTCAGAAGGCCGGGAGGCTTTCGAGCCTTCTGAGAAAACCCACCCCCTCTTAGTTCCTCCCCAGGCTCGCCGCCGACTTCTGGCTCTGAGTCAATTGAACGAGTTTGCATGCTCATGTCGTATCATTTACGTTGTCATGACACCCTCGCATGTTCGCCTCGGAAGCAGTCTTGAAGGGAGTTGGGGAGATGGGCTTTCCCAGCATGAGCGTATTGGATAGTCACGCTATTTCGATGGGAACTCCTCTGGATCACCACTCGACCATGCAGCAGGTGAGCGTGCAAGAAGTGCAGCGGGCGTCGGGCGTGAGGCCAGTTCGGTCCGTCACATGCGCAGCCTGGTGATGCCTGCATGCAATAGGCAGCTGCGTCTCGTCGGCACCACTTACACGTACTTCTACTGTGTTTGCGTCGACGCCGCAGGGGCGACGCGGGCGCTCAGATGTCTTGTAACATTGCTCGGTCTTGGGCGCTTTCTGGACATACCACCTGGATGGCCATCTACCGCACGGTGCTTATGCTATATGTTCGGGACGGAGGTGCGCCTCCGATGGGGGGCGCATAGTATCAGCATGTTCTTCTTCGTCCGATTCCTCGCGTCTCCTTGGGACATCGCCACGCACCCTTCTCCTGCTTCTTCTCATCCTCACAGCCCTCCTCCTCCTCCTCCTCCTCCTCCTCTTCCTCCTCCTCCTCCTCCTCTTCCTCCGATCCTCCTCCGATCCTCCTCCGATCCTCCTCCTCCTCCTCCGATCCTTCTCCATTCCCCATGCACTCTTCCACCTCCGATCCTTCCATACGTTAGGCAGACTTTGAGCGGAGCTCGTGGCGTCGTTACCTCCTCCTCCTCCTCCTCCTCCTCCTCCTCCTTCGTTGAGCAGGGCTGGCGCATACTCGTCTCTCCGTCTTCTCGCGCCGCATCGTCACGTCTCGCCTGGGCCTCCCGGCCCTCCGCGCGCGGGGGCAGGGGAGGGGCTCCCGGTCGCGCGCCCCCTGGGCAGAGCAGTGGCGGGGACAGCGGGGAGCAGTAGGGCGCTTCCGTCGGTCTTGCCCCAGACCTCCCTCTCAGCGGCGAGCCCAGGGGGGAAGCGGGGAGGGGGCGGGCCTTCTCGGAGGGCTCGGCAGGCCTCGGGCCTTCCCAGGAGTTCTCGGGAGCTTTTTTTTTGTTGTCGTGTTTTTTTTGGGGGGGTTCTTTTCTCCAGAGAGACGGAAGACTTCTCAGACGGCCGAAGGGCCTTTGAGAAGCCGCGCCGCCTTCTGAGAAGGCCTGCCCCCGCTCACTGCCCCCATGAGCTCGCCGCCAACCAACTGAAAGCTGAAACGGGGAGAACGGGGAGCAGCTGGGCGCTTCCGTCGGTCTTGCCCCAAGCCTTTGTCTGCTGCCCAGCCGGCGTCAGGTGTGCTCCTAGGCTTCCAGGTTTCAGCGCCGACGATCTCTGGACATTCTCGTCTGTATTGATTGCCTTCGCACCTGGTAGCTCTTCAGTGAGACTGAGCGTAGGCGTGGTGCAGGGCGAAACCGAAAGCAGGGCGGGGAGAGGAATGCACTGCATGGCAACTCGAGCTGACCAGCTGTACATTTTGTCACTCCCAGTGCCGCGCGGAGACGTGTGTTTCGGACGCCGGGTGCCCTGCTGCAGCGATCCTCAAGCTCCAGATTCGGAGGTGGACAGACCTCCTACCCTGGCACGTCGATTAAGGAATTGTCCGTTTTCGGTTCGCGAGAGGGCGTCGCGGCCGTCACTTCTGCGGGTCCAGGTCCGTCGGTTTCGGTCCCAGGCCGTTTTCACCAGGGGGAGGTTTACGAAAGGGAGGTTTGTCCACCGCCGACAGATGCCATGGTGCGATAGGTTAGCGCCGCGTTGACGCGGCGGCGACCCCAGCGCGGGCACTCGAGGTCAAACGCCGCCGGTGGCCCAGAGTCGGCCGATGCCGAGCGCTCTGCGCCGTCGGAGAGCTGCGATCGCGCCCACGGCTGGGCGATGTCCGCGCGGCGTCGGAGGCCGACGCCCGCGGCACCGCGACGCGAGCCCGCCGCAGAGGAGCGAGTGAGCCCTTTGGGGTCGTGCTGCTGGGCGAGGCTCGGGGCACGGCGCGCTTCCTCCTCCCCCTGTCCCGCCATCGCGTGCCCTCGCTTGGAGGCCTGGGAATGGGCACCAACACCAACACGCGGGCATGCCTCGACAGGGGGAAGGAGGATCCCAGAATCCGGTGTTGGTGGCGATACCTGGGCCACCCAGGGCGCCGAACTCTTACCACCACCACCGAGATAGGGAGCACCTGCCCACGGTGGAGGCACACCGCCGATGTTGGTGTTGGTGTCAAACCTCCGGGGCTCCCACTCGCTGCCGGTGGAGGAGGAGGAGGAGGAGGAGGAGG